AAACAAAAAAAAAAAGGAAAGGTATCGTTAACACTTACAGTTGAGAGATGACTTGATGTCTAGCGCAACAGCATAGGGGCAACACGTGTCTTTCTATTTGATAGTTTTATAGTTTTGATCGGTTACACGAACCGTATTGGCCAACAGCAAATTAGCGATCGAAAATTTCAGGGATTAGAATATAACACTAATAGAAAATTCGATGAGAAAAGATGAACATTGATCGATCATCCGAATTCCTCGAGCTAACCATCAAGTGATCTCCTGGCGGTATTTGTGTGTATGCGCGGAACCAACGGAACGTGACATTCACACGGGCATCGTAGACAAACGTCTGTATTGCTCACAAAAATCTGAGCTTCCATCCGCGGAATTCCGCACGATCGTATTATTTATTAGTCGTACACGTTCTAATTCTCTTATCTGTTCAGTTAACGAAGATTTTACTTTATTTTCAACACATTTTTCCTTCTGTTTCTCTATTTTCATTTGAATCTTTGATACACGTGGTGCGTATCTTCGAATGTTTCGATTAGCGGACAATTGTCGCTAACTAAACGTTAATCAATGCGTTTGATATTTAACTTCGATACTTTTTCGTAGAACTTCGATAGAACAGGGTAACGAAATCTCGAAATTACTGAAACTCGAATCGTCGATTCGATGTGTTCGTTTTAGAACGCGAGGAAGGCAACTGATGGTTCTGAACTAATGGTTCATTGGGTTGACCGAAAAGGCTTGCTGCTCTGTTTCTCAATGTTGAATCTATCTTGTAATGCATGAGTGAGTGTTACAGGTAAATTAAGAAGAATAACAAAGGAAAATATAAAACTTACGAGTAGAACGCGCCAAAATTAGTTTAATTTAGTTTCAAAACAAAGTTTAACTTAGCGAAGTGACATTTGTAATGACGAGCCTTTTAAACCAACCCAATACGCATTAACACAACTGATCCCCTTTTGTATTTTTGGCAAGAAAGAAATAGAACAAAGGAGCGATAATAATCATTATTTTGTTTCGTCTCTCGAAATTAGTAACTGCAATCATCGATTAACGCCTATTCAAGTGAATTCGAACGATGTTTAGTTTGTTAGTCCCGAAAGCGACACACTAGCCATAAGATTTATGCCGTAGATACGTAGACTGTTCGATGTAAGGTATAAACAAGATTCTATAGAGAGGAACGCAAACGAAACCGACTGTATAATTACCGTGATACGTAGCTCTAATGAATTTTGAAAGCGAAGCAACAACCGGAAGTAGGGAAGTGGAGAGCGCGAAGATACATACATACAGATGATTCGCCCGGACATTTGTTTCAATCGTTATCTACGATTTTTATTATACTCGACGATCGTGTGATGCAAAAGACAAAAAGGATAGACTCTTTTTCTTTTTTTAACGGACGACGCGGAGACGGATCGTTCAGAAGCCTTTCCCGAGGGCTGGTTTGATTTTTCGAACGTGGATCGCGGAACGACCACGTTTTGCAGCTGTGAGAAAGCAATTACGTCGTTGGTCGGCTCAGGGTGTCGCGTTGCATCTGGAACTACCGGACGTTTAACATGATTAATGTGTAATACTTACAAAATTTGTAATAATAGATTTTTTTCGGTTCCTTTATATACTGATTATAGTATTATAGTGAAACTATTTATTTTTTAAATCATTTCAGACATTTAACGCTTTTAAGATATCAATTGAAAGATAAAAAAGATAACATGTCATTTTGTCGGGTGTGGTAGTTCAGTGTGTTAGCCTATATAATAGCATTGATATTAAGGTTTTCAACTCAAGAGCATAAAAATGAATTTTTCATAAATCCATGTGAAAATAAAGATATTGTATAGTCATTTCAAAAATGATTTCGCCATTATCGATGTTTCATCTTTAATCAGCTTAACATTCTTTTGTATTTAAGTGAATTATTAATAGTGAAGTAAGTTTATAGAGCACAATTTTGAAGAAAATATTGAAACAAAGGATTGAAACACGATTGATTTGTAAGTGCAACAGAAATATAGTATTGCGACAAAAATAGATCACCCTGAGCGACAATTATTTATTGATTAGTATTGATACGGTTCACATACATTGTTATTGTTACATCATTTATTGTAAGGACTTTTTATTATAATCTTGAAAGTGCTTGCGACGCGAGACGTTTTCATGGCGGATGAACCGTTCTTCAACTCTTCGATCCTTGAACAGTGGTTCACTCGACGAATACAGGGTTCATTCGGACCCATTATAATCATGTCGCATTCATTTAATTTAATTGACATCTTAATTTATTCACAGTACTACACCAAGTGAACATATCAACAGTAGTTTAAAAATTGTAAACAAATCAATTCCTTTTCAAATATGAAGAAAATTTTTGTTTAATTTTGTTTCATCCAAGTTAAACCGTTTTTTAATCATAAGAAAAAAATGCAGTTTTTTTGCAACGTTCGTACTGTAATCATTTGAAATTAGCAACAAATGAACTTGTTTCGAAGGAAAAATGCTTTCCGCCGTTTTGCTCTAGAATTATTATAATTTCTAATTGTAATCGATTATGATTATATTAAATAATTGAGAATATACAAGGTTGTTATTACAAATAAGAATAACTCTTGAAAATGTACAGTTGAGGGTCCATAGAGACCTTGCATTCGTCGAGCTGGGGTGATAGTGGTGAATCGTAGCTGTAAGAAGATTGATGTAACATCGTTGTAAATTGTACATTTTATTTATTTCTTTTTCTCGCAGTATAAGTTAGTTATGTAAAAGAAAAGAAAGGAATGTTAGTCATGGAGGCGATGTGAGATTGAACAAGATCGTTCGATTGTACATTTTTTGTCACCGATCAATGAACCTACGTTATAATACTGAAACATATTTTATGCGTATAGATTGTATAATATTATAAATCCAAAAGGAGCGTGGTGAAAAAAGAAAGGAAGAGTATGTGCACACTAGAATTACCGCAGTGGTCGGTATGACTCTTACGTAATTTCTCCTTTCGTAATTATTGAAAATATACAATTAATATTTTCTTTAATAATTACTGAAAATATACGATTAATATTTTCTTTCATAATTACTGAAAACGTACTTACAGCTGTTTATGCGAGAAATTCTTAAATGAATTGACGCAATAAAATGCAAATCAAAATAGATATCAATCGAAATTTCACTCAAGTTTTTCCACAAAAATTGAAATCAGTCAATTCGATTGCTCGGTAGTTCTAGGATCGAGAAATGAGGAAACAAGGAAAACTCGATAGCTGAATAGAGTACAAAATTTCGACAGTTGCTCTCAAAATTTTGTACACGAGAAAAAGTTACCAGGCGCGCTTCCATTTTAATTTATTCATTGTATAGCTATTGTATCGTCTACTCGTGTCCGTGATACGAGAGACCAATGAAAACGAACCTGCGGTTTTTGTCAAATATAC